TGTCCTTTTTCATTTAGTCCTGGTGTGGATCCATTTCAGTTTCATACCTGTCCACCCCTGGCCCAACATTTTTCTCATCGGTTTGTTGTTCCTGCTTAGTGTACCTACTTTGAATCAATTCAGTAAGCAGTTCTTGGGCCCCTACAACACGTTTTGTTCACTTTTGTTCCCCTCTTCATGGTTTGCAGAGCATCTGTGATTCTACAGGGTCAAAAAAAGACGACCAGAAAACAAGTGAGAAGAGAGAAAGCTGGACTTGCGGCTAGCAGTCTGAAAGTGAGGTCGGGCCCTCTCTGACAGCAGAGATGTTCTGTGGTAGATGTAACAGGGGAATGAATAAGAAACAGGAGGGTTGAACAGGGGTGGGTGCTCTGCTAAGATTAGTTAACTGTTACCTGTTCCCAGAAAAGGTGGACTAAGAGTAAGGAACAGGGGTCCTGAACTCCAACTGCAAACCAGTACCGGTTGGTGGCCTGTTAGGAACTGGGCTGCACAGAACAAGGTGAACGACAGGGAGCAGAGCTCCATTTTCTGTCAGATCAGCAGCGGCATTAGATTCTCATAGGAGCCAAACCCTATCGTGAACTGCACACGCAAGGGATCTAGGTTACACGCTCCTTATGAGAATTGAATGCCTGATGATCTGAGGTGGAGCTGAGGCAGTGATGCTAGTGCTAGGGAGTGGCTGTAGATACAGAGTAACATTAACAGTGAGGTTCTACTGCACATTACCCCATCCGTGAAAATGTCTTCCACGAAACTGGTCCTGATGCCGAAAAGTTTGGGAAGCGCTGATTTAAAGAGCATGCTGAGATTTGGGGCTTAATCTGGAGGCTTGTAACATTTTGTTATGTAAGGATTGCAGAAAACTTTAACCCTTTATAGCACCCTTATCTGATTCCCTTAAGACCTCAGTGAGGTAGGAAGTGGGGTTGGTAAGTAACTCTGGGAACAGGTGGGGCTTGCCCAAGGTCACACAGCAACTCGCTGGAGAGCTGAGGTACCCAGGGCTTTCCTCTCACCCTTCCTTCTTTCCATAATTGTCTGAAAACCTATTGTGTGGTAAACACTCTACCAGAAGTAGGACTACAGTAATGTACATGAAAGAAGTCCTTTCTGCTCTGGGGTTTCATTCTAAGGCAGATACAGGCACGTGTGCACGCACGCGTGCGCGCGCGCGCGCACACACACACACACACACACACACACACAGATAAACAGGCAAAAAATGATCTGCAAGTTGCAGTGGGGCTAAGAAACCCACTAGCATGGAACCGATTAGAAGACAATAGAGGTGGGGATGAGGGATGCTCTCGACAGGCCGGTCAGGGAAGACTCCTCTTCTGGGATGCCATCTAAGCCAGTCAAATGAGTCCTAGGATGGACATAGGCAGCTGGCTTCCAGAACAAGGAAACAGTAGGTTCCCAGATCTCAAAGCAGCAGTGGAAAAAAGCAGAGAGAGTTGAGATATTTTGAATTAATTAATTAATTATTATTATTATTTTTTTGAGTTGGAGTTTCCCTCTGTTGCCCAGGCTGGAGTGCAGTGGTACACTCATGGCCACCCCAGTGTTGGCCTGATGGGCTCAGGTGATTCTTCCACCTCCGTCTTCCAAGTAGCCAGAACTACAGGGGCACGCTACCACACCCAGCTAATTTTTTGATGTATTGTAGAGATGATGTCTTGCCAAGTTTCTGGGGCTGGTCTTGAACCCGCGGGCTCAGGCAATCTACTCACCTTGGCCTCCCAAAGTGCTGGGATTACAGGCTGAGCCACCAAGCCCAGCCAGTTGAGATAGATTTTAGAGGCAGGACTACCAAGAGCGAGAGAAACAGTAGGACCAGGGTAAGTCTCGGGCTCTGGAAGGAGCAGCTGGTTAGCGGTGCAATTACAGAGTTGGGGACCCCCAGAAGAGAGCAGGGGAGCATCTGAGACTCAGGAGTTGAGTGTTGACCTTGTTAAGTTGAAGAGGCCTATTGATTATCCAAGGAAAGGTGTCATCAGGCAGTTGTAACTGCAAGTCTGGTGCTTGGGGGAGGAGGCCTAGAATGGAGATATGAATTTGGGAATTATTAGTTTGTAGAAGGAATATAAAATCATGGAGTCAGACCAGATCACCTAGGAAAAGGACACAGGGCTGGGTCCTGGGATTTCCAACATTTAGAAGGATAAAGAGGAGGAGCCAGAAAAGGAGACTGAGAAGGAATGTCCAGTATGATGGAGGAAACACCAGGAGAGTGTAGCATCCATGGAGCCAAACAAAGCACACTTTAAAAAGGGACACGTGTTCAACCATGTCAAATGCTGCTAGGGAATTAAACAAAATGAGGACATAGACATGACCACCAAATCTGGCAATACGGAGGGTAGTTTATGACCTCGATAACAGGATTTTCAGTAGAGTGGTTTGGACAGAAGCCTGACTGGAAAGAGTTGAGGAGCAAATGTTGCCTTCTGAATAAAAATGGCAGATGGAGTGATACCCCATCTCTTAAAAAAATGGGAGAGAGGCAGATGGGCCACAACTGAAAAACCAAGACAACCACTAACTCCAGGGAATACAAAAAGTTGTTCAGAGATAGCAAGGCCATCGTATTACACGGCTCAGCTCAGAAGGGCATAATTGCAATCTAACTTGTAATACTGATCTAACCATCATGGCATCATCATGCCAAGAACATGGTGGCTGAAGGGTATATGTGGGAGGGGAGAGAAATTGGTGAAATAACTAACTCTTCTCTTTTTAAATGATAAGTGAATCAAGATTATGAACTGAGGAGGAGATGTAAGAATGGAGAAGGTGTGAAAAGTAGTTTTGGGAAAGGGAACCTCTAAGGGATGGGTGGAAGGGGCACGGGGTGCCTGGGGGGATTCATGTGAAATATGGGGTGATGCATTTGAAATGAAGCCAGCTGCACAGTAGAGACTCTTCCCAGCCAGTGGAGGTTCTAAGAGGGTGGGTACCTCTGGCATCTGTGAAGGTGTGGAGTTTTAGTCTTTTTTTTTGAGTTGGAGTCTCACTCTGTCACCCAGACTGGAGTGTAGTGGCCGCTCCCTGCCACTGCAGCCTTGACCTGCTGGGCTCCGACGATCCTTCCACCTCAGCCTTCCAAGTAGCTGAAACTACAGGCGCGCATTACCACGCCCGGCTAATTTTTGACTTATTGTAGAGATGAGGTCTCGCCAAGTTGCCCAGGCAGGTCTCGAACCCACAGGCTCAGGCAATTCACTCACCTCAGTCGAGTTTTAGACTTTAAAGGGACCCTGATGTGGGAGACTGAGGTGGTAGGATTGCTTGAGGCCAGGAGTTTGAAAACAACCTGGGCAACCCAGCAAGTCCTATCTCTCTATATATTTTTTTAAATTAAAAATGTTTTAAAACTTTAAAAAGCTTTAGAAAACTTCTTTGTAAATCTGGTTAACAGTAGTATTATTAGTGCCAAGTAGCTGGGATTACAGGCATGCACCACCATGCCCAGCTCTAAAACTCTTGAATATTCCATTATTTCAGGCTTCACAACAACCCTAGGAGGTGGGTACTATGATCTTTTACACTGGAGGAAAGTGGGGCACAGAGTGGTCTGGCGAGTCGCCCAAGTCATGAAGTTTCAAGTAACAGAGGCCAGATCCTGCCCCCTGGACTCTGGCATCCCTGTGATAATTGCCCAACTCTGCCGGAGGGTCCTCACAGTCCCCGAGGGCTCATTCCTGAAAAGCCTAGAGTCATGTCCTAAGTGTGGGAGGCCCTTTCTGGGCCGCCCACCCCTCACTGCACTTGGTGGGGAGGGGGCTGCCGTGTCCCCAGGAGCTTCCTTGCAGTACCTGAGCGCACTCTGGATAGGAGGCCAAGAGCCTGCGGGGCCTGGGAAAGCGAGGGCTGTGCACAGCCTGCGAGGCGTGCAGTGGCCAGCCTGAGTTCAAGACCAGAGGGGTGCTCTGGTGGCCCGGAAGAGAGGCTGCAGGTCAAGAACCACCGCTTTCTCGGACTGGGACTATTGAACTATGGCTCCACCCTCACCCTCCAGCAAGCCCAGAACCCTGTGCCTCCCACCCCTCAGCCCAGGCCTGAGATGGCACCAGCCTTGGTCCCCACAGACGAGGGTCCTGGTGGGGGCAGGAACTGGGGCAAGCGGTTGTCACGCTCCCTGAGGCTCTTTCCCACCCTGGAACCTCACTGGGCCGGAGTTCTCATTCCCTGTAGTAGCTTCCTCACTTCGGTTCCTACCTGGAAGGTGATGGGCGACATATCAAGAAGCTGTTCCCAAGGCTCTCAATCTCAGGGCCTGAGACCCTGCTCTGTTGGTGTCGGGGTGTGTGTGTGTGTGTGTGTGTGTGTGTGTGAGATCGATCCTGAGCTTCCCCCAGAAGCCTGCCACGCCCACCCTGTGAGAACAAGCTCCTCCCATTTTGTGTCCGTTCCTTGCTGCCATGACTGTGGCTGTCTTGTACAGAAGGCAGGAATTCCTTTCCTGGTGCAGCCAGTACCAAGCCCTTTGTCCTTGCCACCTTGGATATGTGCCATTCTTGGCTGTCTTGTCACAAGGCTAACTCTCCTGATCAGGTCCTTACATACCTAGCTGTCCCCTGCCCCACCATTCCTGGGCCAGGGTCAGATACTGCTCCTAACACCCAGGCCCTCGCGTTTCTCTCAGCCCCTCCTGACCCCCAGCCTCGTTTGGACAGCCAGAAAGCTCCAGACGGTCTCCAGGTGACCCTCAGTCTGTTCTCCCCGAATTCAAAACGCCGCAGTTACAGTAGTGGCAGTTCCTGTCACACCGCAGCCAGTGACAGCTTGATGGCCCACATCCCTCCCCCACCATCCCCTTCACAGCAAGGCCCACGTGTGTCCCCAGACGCCTGAATCACTGCTGACGGCTTGGGACCTGGCGGCCATGGGCTCCTGGGGAGCCACTGGGGAGGGGGATGACAGCCACGTCTCGCCTCCGAGAGAACACCTGCGGACATAAATAGGCAGCCAGCGAAGGCAGTGGCACAGAGCTGCTGAGCAGTGCTGCACACGGTGCCCACCAGCCTGCAACAGGATGCCTGACACCACGCTGCCCGCCTGCTTCCTCGGCCTGCTGGCCTTCTCCTCCGCTTGCTACTTCCAGAACTGTCCGAGAGGCGGCAAGAGGGCCGTGTACGACATGGAGCTGAGACAGGTACTACCCACCATGGCCCATCTCAGGGCTGCCAGAGTGGGCAGTGCCCAGGACTGGCACCTTGGGGCAGGAGCTAGGACAGGAGGAAGTCGTGGGAGAGTCAGCCTTTAGGGGACATGCCGGGGAGGAGGCAGAATGTGTAGTGTGGCTGGGAAGAGGGACCAACAGGGTTGGTCAGAGGGGACTATGCTTCCGGGCAGGCTAGAAGGGGCTGAAGGAGCTCCTGGATATCATCCCCATTCAGACATGGGATGCAGGAAGGTCAGGAAATTTCTGCCTTCTGGACAAGACAGCTGTAGTCATGGCATCAAGGGGATGCTTCCCCAGTGACTGGGCTTGGGGCTGGATCATGGAGCGTCAAGTGTCAGGCCTCCTCTATGCCCATGAGGACCTCTCTTCTGGATTGGCTGGAGTAGCAGAGGCTCTGTTCTACTTGGCATTCGAGGCTTTCCTCATACATCCCCAGCCTCTCCCAGTCACACAGAAGATGGCCACAGCTCTGAGCTCACCGAGTAGGGGAGCTACCCAAGCATTCACTGTTGGGTAACTAGCCCAGTGCTCTTCTGCTGGATGTGTATTCCATTCCCAGCAGAGTTGAAGGAAATCTGATCAACACATGCAGTATTGCCAGGCTCCATTTTGAGCTGTTGAACAAACCAAATGGCCAGGCAGGCACCCCCACAGCCTATCTACCCTCTGCTAGGCTCCTACAGAGGCTTGAGTCACCTTGAGGTGTCCATGCCCTCTTCTAGGGCCCAGGCTCCTGTCTCTCACCTGGTAGGTCATAGCTAGGTGAGCAGGGGATCAGGGCTCCAATCAGGCCCACCAGCTTGGGCAGGCGCAAGGGCAAGGGAAGAGAGGAGACAGGAAGTGGAAGGAAGGGTCTTGATATGTCCTGGATGGGGCCAGGACCCTCTTCGTGGGGGGTGGGATGGGGGCTTGGGCTAGCTGGAGTAATGTGGGTGGCAGGAAAGTCTGGGACGGGAGGGGATGGCAGCTGAAAGAGTGGTGCACACCTGTGATGGTCCCAGAGCTTAGTAAGGTCTCCCTCGTGCTGTAGTCCATGGGAGACCCAGTCCCAAGTGACCGATGAGGGTACTGAGGACTATTACTGAGAGTTGGTCCTCAATCACCTAAAAACCCGAGGTGTTGAGATACTGACTCCTCGCCCTTGACCGCGGTCGCGGCCCGGGGGGCGCCCCAGCCTCTGCACCCCGCGTCCCGCCCGCTCTCCCGAGCCCGGGGCCCCAG